AACTTTTCGTTCTATAGAAATTGTTTTGATTTGCACGTTACACAAATTTGCAAATCAATTAATTAATACCCGTGTATGTAAGATTAGAATTTTTCTTTTTTATATTTTATATTTTACAAAATATTGAAACCAAGTTTTATAATTAGGTTTAACCAAACCAGGTTTGAGTTTGAAACTTATATAGAAACCCGATTCTTAGGTTTTAATTTGAAGCCCAAAGATTTTAAAACCTAAACCAAACCTAAACTAACTTTAGCATCTCTAGCATTATCACAATTTGCCCCATGAGAGTCTTTTAAAATGATCTGTCTTTCTGCTCGTAGATCCGATTATCCCAATTAATTTAAGTTCTTCAAATCCTTTTATAAATCTTGCTCTGAAACATTTATATACATTATTAGATTGACGTTCTTAAAATCTAAAGCCAACTGATTTAGTCGAATGTACTTACACAACCTCCTTTTCATTAAGCTTTCTATTTTCTAAATTTTCTTTAGCTATTACATTTTCAAAAGAATCCAGCCAATCTCGAACGTTAATCAATTTACCGCATTGTAAATGTAATTTGTACAAAATAGATGTATCATTATGTGTTGATAGAATTTGCTCTCTAGAATCCCAATCGACATCATCCTTGTCATTACTTTCATCGTCCATACAACAATTACAATTTATATATTCGGTAGTAAGTCCGAGAGCAGTATGAATTGCTGATCGTAATTTTGGGATGAATGCCTATTTTATGGAACTAGTTAGTGTGAATTTTATCAGGATAAATATGTAGAATTAATATGGTGTTCTTACGCATTCAAGAATGGATATATCTTCCTGGTAATAAAAAATTTCGAATAGAGCATTGGTGGAATAATGTCGTAAGTTTTCACTACACAAAAAAAAAAAAAAAAAAAAAAAATTAGATCGATAACAATAATTAAGAGCACAGATAAAAATGCTTACTCAAAGAATATTGCCAAATAATTTGTAACATCTATAACCAATTTTTTGTAATCGTCACCAATCTTTTCGATCTTTTGTAAAATAGCGGATTCTTTATTTTTCATTTTCGTTACTGAAGAACGAGTCGACGCGGAAGGTCGAGTTAAATCGTTCTCAATCTCTTTTGACCGAACCAAAAAGTGGCAAAAATCTTCGTACTCTTGTTCAATATTTTCCACATGGTTAAGTACAGTTTTAAGTAAAGAAATAAAGATTTGAAGTAACTCTCCAATTTTTTTTGGATCTATCTTTCTATAATACAAGATAATTATTTTGATGGCCTCGAGATATCTGATTTACACTTTGCATAATTAAAAGTAGTACTCACATTAAATCATCCAATAATGTTTGGATATAATCATTTTCACCGAGTCCAGGCTTTTTTAATGCAATGGAATATAGCTCATATTTCGATTTTAGCTTTTTTGCATCATAATCCAAAAAATCCTGGAGAAAAATGATAAATTCTAAAGCAATAGCAAATCTTTGATGATATGTTGCTATATTTTGACTGAAAGTGGGTAAAAGTGATTTTACGTAGTAATCATCGCACAATAACCGACGCGCTTCTGCTGGCTGATGAAGTTTGGACTCCACGTACCTGAATTAATTTTTATAAAAGCGATGAACATAATAAACATTGCAAATAACGATCATCTTAGATACCTGCTTACTCTCTGAATGAAATTTGCATTCGTATCATTTCTACATGGTTTTCGTTTAGCAAATCAAGCCTCGAATAAATTTCCTCTGGTTCAATAGTTGCCAATATACTCAATGGATTTGTATAAAAATAATGCATCAATGCATACTACAAAGTACAATTATCAATATTATTACTATTATTAATATTTAAAAAATAATAATAAAAAAAAAATAACAACGCATTTCAAAACAACCTTCAAACTTGATACAAATAATGACAACGAAAACTTTCTTCCAATAAACATATCAAGCAGAAACTCGTATGCTTTTTCACCGACTTTTGTACATTGTGCATCTTCTATCATACACTTTATAAATTAAAAAAGTTATATTAAAAGAAATATTTATGCCTTGGAAAAAAAGAAACAAATTCTACCAACTTGTGATACAAGATCATCGCAACGGGCTTTTTGCGTCCGCAAATAAAACGCTTCTGGTTTTAACAGGCGCACCACAGAATATGAATAGTTTTCACGAAGTGGGTCGATACCACGAATACAAGTAGTTATTCCTAACATCAACACAATTGGAATTCTATCTCGATAATGACTATTAGTGTCAAAGGAAAGAAAATATAAATCATAACGTCAGTGTTGATTTTATTATTCACGATTGTCAGAAGACAAATACCTGCACGAGTATATAAAATGTTCCAAGACTTCTGGTACAAAACATTCAAAATCTTGAATTATAATAATCAGCCTCGGCAAAGGTCTCGGGCCTAAAATACGTTTTAACACGTCTTAAAAACGACTTTTTTTCTTTCATAGCTCAATGGAATGAAGAAATGGAAAAAGGCTAATATTACCATCTTTAATTTGATAATTGTACTCGTACCATTGAGACAAAGTATTCATATCAACCTTTAAGATACAATATAAATATATATATATCATTGAAAAAAA